ACTCCCCCAAACATACACTGCCCCTATGGGCCTCGGTCAACCAGTAAATCACTGAAATCAACAAACTTTCACAGTCCTCTGTGGCATTTGTCTGATTTGTCAAACATCTGAGTTAATCAAGTCACCATCACCCTGTGGTTAACACGGATTAAGCCACAATCCCAGTATGAGTAGGGACGCAGGTGGCGCAGGGCTGATCTTCTCATCAATCTCTCCACATAAACCGTGTTCCAGAGAGTTATTTATAGCTATGACTAAGAACAGAGTTAATTAAGTGACGGTTTTGGTCTCATTGTTTGCAGGGTTGGAGCACAGCCATGCTCATTTCTGAGGCAATTTAAAATAGAAACTGACTAAATAACTCTGATACTGACTAAACAACATCATGAAACAACTCGATAGCTATTTCCGGTTTAATTTGAAACTGGTGGAACCCACCTCGAGCGAATCCATCGAAGCAAGGTGGGTTAATTACTGTATCACTCATCTGAGTTTGAAAATTTAATCAGTCTTGGACCAATCTTCAGAAAAAGACAAAAAAGGTAAACGGTCCTAAAATTCTTGTGTGTATTGTCGGCTACAGCACCCTGCCATGAGGCGGAACATCGTGGAACACCGTGGAAGAACATTAATTGTGTGTTGTGTGTGGTATATGTGTGTGATGTAAGTGTGTGGTATATGTGTGTGGTGTAAGTGTGTGATATNTGTGTGTGACCCAGGTTTTGAAACAAAGTAGGTATAATCAACCATACATTTCCTAGAATTCTATAGATTCTGATATATGCACCCAAAGTTTGGAACACCTTACCCTCTGAAATATGAGCAGCAGGTGACATAGATACTTTTAAAAAGCTTTTGAAGACTCATATTTTTAGAATAGCCTATCAGTAACTATCATATAGTTAATTTTAGTTTTTAATAAGGTGTACTGTAATTTTATGATTAAATTAAAATGTTGTCACTTTAGTTTCTTATCATTTTAGAATATGAATAATTGGTTCTTTAAATTAGTTCTTAGTCCTTTAAAATTGTAATGTGTTCTTATATTAGTATTGTGTTATTTAGCTCTTTTAAGTGAATGTTGTAAGGCGCATTGAGATTTTTAATGGAATGCGCCATAGAAAAATAAATTATTATTATTATTATTATCATCATATTATGATATCATAAGATAGTTGTGATTGTATCGACATAAGTTTTTACAAGTTTTAAATTTAAAAATTAAAAAAAAAAGTATTTCTTTTTCTCAGTGAAAAATGACACAGATTTTGCACATCTTTTAAATTTTGATACTGATAACAAAGAGAAGTTGTATAAAGAATAGGATTATCAGTGGAGCTGATGGATTTTTGTTGCTCTCATACTTTCCAGAGCAGAAGGTAGCTGGAACTGCACTGGGTGTGAGCCTGGACATTACAGAGCTTCTTCCACACTAAAGGAAGGTTGTAAAGAATGTAAAGAAGGTAGGCAGTTCGTGTAACTGAAAAAAAAATCAGACAGTATTTTATTGAAGGTGATTGGTTTGAGCAAATATTATCAGTTAAGAGATTTTTTTATGAAGCACAAAAATTATTCAATTTAGTCCATCAAATTAATATACATACCAACCACTCAGATAGTTCTAGAGATTTTTCAGTAATGTCAATAGCCCTGGAGATGTAACTAAGCATTTGTATGTCTCAATATGTTTGCATTTAAAAAAGCACACAAGTAGGCATAGTATGTTTATAACAATCTGCAGGCCCGTAGCCGGGGGGGGGGGGGGGTTCGAAAGAACCGCCCCTTTTGCTGGGAAAAGTTCCACTCTGGGTAAGATTTGATCTAGGTACATGAAGGTTTTATGGGAAAAGGTCCACTTTTTCAGAAAAAGAACCCCCCTTTTGAAATTGCTGGCTACGGGCCTGATCTGTATTAATTGTGCAGCTCATAATGTTATTAGAACTGGAAGGTTTAACCAGTGTACATGTAACCTTTACTTCACAATACTTTTAGAATTTTATTTGCCATATAAACATTTTATTTCTTATAGGATCTTACGCTCCTACAAGTAATTCAACAGAATGCACAAAATGCCCTGTGGGGGAGTTTAGTTCACAATCTGGTGCTACTAAATGTTTCAGATGTCCACCAGATGCTGTGTGCCTGTAAGTGGCATTTCTTTAAGATAAAAGGGGCAGTGACTTAAAGATACATAGAAGTTGAAAAAGATGAAAAAATACTAATTCATGTATTTTTTTCAGGTTAAATATATATTTTAAACTTATCATTTTGCCAAGAAAATCAATACTTGAGTTTTGTATTTTGCCTTTTTTATTAAGAGAAAAGCAGACTAATGTTCATTGCTACTCAATTTTGGCCTGTAATACCATTTAACTTTTAGTGCTTATTAAGTTAAAGCAAAGATTAAAATCAACAGAATAAAGGGTATCGGAGAAGATCAGCATTGGTCAGAATTGTGCCGGCAGTGACGTGCAATGGTGTAAGACGTAAAGCTGAGTGGTCATTTTTAGCTGGAGGTGAACGGGAGAGAAGACATGGACTTGGAGAAAAAAGCAGTTTTTCAAACAACATGGTAAGATGACATTTCTTCTTTACGCATTTTGGGCAGAGAATACTTGTAGAAGTAATAGGCACATGATATGAAAACGTGACACGGAACTTGAAGGTGCAAAATCATGGTTAATTTGCAGACAACTTGTTTTGAAATACATGCTACATCGACCGCCTGCGCTACAAAGAGCGTAAAGGGAAAAGAATTCCCGGGAGGCTATAAATCGTTGTCATTTAGAATTTTGACATTTATATAATCTGATATGTCCATATCTAAGTATTTTTGGGTGTTTTATGGTATGTGCTGCAATTATAATGATGTTTTAGAGTTCTTGAAGGACCTTGTGAAAACCAGGAAGTAGTTCGTAACTAACAACTGAATCGTACCGATCTACAACTGCTGTGCAAAGATGTATCTTTTTTTTTAATAATGTGATGAATTGTTAGATCTTTATATGTCCATCTGACGTGAAATTCCACACATATGAGCACACTAATACAGGGGCGGACAGAAAAAATTAAATACCTGTCAATGTAAACTTGAAAATCTGACTGTCTTCCGCAAGACCCAGAAGACAGCCTAAATCCGCCCCTTACCAATTCACCTTTTACACCAGGGTAGGCACTAATCACAAGTACGCGACTGGCATTTAATGGCATCTTACAAGATCTTCCCAAAAAGATGAAAAGAGAACGGGTAATTAAGACTAGCTCTAAGTTACTAATAATTGACATTATTATGCAATACTCAGTTGGAAAAGCGATTCTGACAGGTAGATAAGATATAACATGACCAGTTTCTCAAGGCTATTGACTTACAGCCTATGGAAATTGATTGCCAGTCTCTTTTGCTAGTGATTTTTAGCTCAGATAAGAAACTGTCAGAATGTCACCTTTGTATTGGCATTTGTCACTGCTTAGTGGCTACCCCGGTGTAAAAGGTGTATTAATGTGATCATATGTGTGGAATTTCATGTTAGATGGACATATAAAAATAAAAAGTTCATCAAAATATTTAAAAATAGATACATCTTTGCACAGTAGTTGTGGATCACTACGACTCAGTTGTCAGTTATGAATTACTTCCTGGTTTTCACAAGGTCCTTCAAAGACCCTAAAACATCGTTATAATTGCAGCCCATACCATAAAACACCCAAAAATACTTAGATATGGACACATTAGATTATATAAATGCCAAAATTCTACATGACAACGATTTATAGCCTCCCGGGAATTCTTTTCCCTTTACGCTCTTTGTAGCGCAGGCGGTCGATGCAGCATGTATTTCAAAACAAGTTGTCTGCAAATTAACCATGATTTTGCACCTTCAAGATCCGTGACACGTTTTCATATCATGTGCCTATTACTTCTACAAGTATTCTCTGCCCAAAATGCGTAAAGATAAAATGTTATCTTACCATGTTGTTACAATAACTGCTTTTTTCTCCAAGCCCACATCTTCATTCCCATTCACCTCCAGCTAAAAATGACCACTCAGCTTTACGTCTTACACCACTACACGTCACTTCCAGCACAATTCTGACCAATGCTGATCTTCTCTGGTACCTTTTATTGTCTTACTTATTTCAGGGAGGAAGGCTGTGATAGATGTATAGGGTGCCCACCTGGTAAAGAGCCAAACTCTTCTTCATCTTGTAAAGAGTGTGCTCCTGGTAAGTACCAATAAGGTGAATAAAAAATATTCAGTCGTACTTGTCTTTATGAATGCATACCATCACTTCATGTTTGTCTGCAGGTACAAATTGGCATCAGCTTATTCCCTGTATCATGTTAAGGATAAGCAAAGTCTAAGTAGCTTCTTGATATAGCTTTCTCTACACCAGCTGTGAACAACTGTAACACAGTGTCCCTTACTTTCCAAACCATGCACCCTTTAACTATCGCCCCCCAAATTTAGAAGAAAAATATCCACAGTTACTATTGAACTTGAATAGGAAATCACAAATGTAAAATGCAAGTGTAACCTTAAATTTTACCTTGACAAATTTCTTTTACAGAGTGCAATTATTTGTGTATTGCTGTATTAGTTTGCCAGTCTATAGGTTTAAATAGTATGGGTTGTCTGTGTACATGCCAACTTAAGCTGGCTCGTTGATTCCTTTGGAGGACTATGATGTATATGGGAAAGGGAAACTATGCTAAAAAATGCATAAACAAGGCAGCAAAGCTGTCAAATGTACAGACAAAAAACAGAAAATAAAGATGCAAAAAAGGTCATTTTGTCAATTTTGATGCAATATTAAAGCAATAATAACTCTTCCTTTGAGATTCAAAATTCTGCAAGAAATACATTGTAAACAATTCATGAAAATATATTACATTGTATTTTACCATTAAAACGGCTGTTATTGTAGCAAAACTTAAATCTGTGCTTGTCAATAGGGCTTTCGATGCCTTTCTTACCAGTTGTCAAGGCATCCGTTGCCAATGACATTGAGGTGTCATGCGGATTCTCACGTTCATTCAAGACCAAAATATCATATGGCACCATATGAGAGGAGGCGCATGATACAATCCTCAGACGTAAGTTTCGAGTTTTTGTACAGAGCGTCGGAAAACGAAAAGCCTAGAACTGCACACATTGTAGAAAATTTAAAAAATGCATTTTGAGCAATTAGACGAATATGTCTTATAAATATCATATTATTGTTATATAGTGTTGTTGTTATCTGCTTTTCCTGCGGTTTTAAGTAGGTCACCAGAAAATATCGCTCGAAATCGAGTGACTATACAATGTCAGAGAGGGCTCCGTCAGTTAAAATCTCTTAAGAGATTTTAACAAAAAACCAAACGTTTAGGAAAAAAAAACCTGGACTAACTTTGAATGCAGGGATGGGGTCATTGACCATTGGTAAGTACGGAAAATTGCCGTTTACTCCAGGGAAATCCAATTTTTGGCCAAAACGAAGAGTGATTATGACTTTAAACTTGAAAAGAACTCTGAGAGTGCAGACCTCCGATTAGGCAGCAATTTTTGATATTTGATTATCGATTATTGATCCAGATCACCACCAAAAACTAATCACTTTTAAGTAAATCCCATTTCTGACCTACCCTGAAAATTCCATCAAAATCGGTCCATAGCTTTTTGAGCTATGTTGATGATTGATATTTGATTATCGATTATTGATCCAGATCACCACCAAAAACTAATCATCTCTTCCTTGGCCCACGTCTGACAGTTCCTAAAAATTTCATCAAAATCAGTCCGTAACTTTTACATGAGTTATGTTGATGACAAACAGACAAACGGGGAAAACATGGCTTATAATAGCACAGTCAGTCAACACTGAATTTTAATCATACACAACAGGTGACATCGTCAATAACAGGAGTGGATCCAGAGATATTTTCTAACAGTATTCCAAAGTATCTTTGTTGATCCATCCTCCATTTTGATGGTCTTCCAACAGAAAAAAATAGATACCTGTCAATATAAACTTTAAAACCTGACCGTCTTATGGAAAAACCCAGAAGATAGTCTCAATTCACCCCTTCAATAAGATTACAGTTTCAGGACCATGAGAGTTCAAATTCACATGATGAAAGTCCCAATATTTGAAAAATGATGACAGTGCATAAAATAATATTACATTATGTTTAAAGACATAAATACCAATAAAACTGCTTATGTGGAACTGTATAAATACCACCAATTTTTAAATATCTACTATTAAAAACATGGACATTAAGAAAATTTGATTACCACTGGGCTTCATGCCCAAGGAAGCTCTAAGTCCCACATTGAAAATTCCAATATGTTAAAGTTAAAAAATTTTTCACAAAAAAACTGTATCACTTCCATACAATTAACTAATGAGACAATTTTTCAACTGAAGCTGTATTTCAGTCCTATGTTTCTTTCCTGTAAGTGTGAGAAGAGCAAGTGACATGGTTTTCCTTTCACCGTCACTACGGAGGCAGTGCCCAAAATAGGGTTTTGTTAAATTTTGAAGCAATATTACACAATGCTTAACAGCATAATAACCATAAATCATTTAATAATAAAAGTATCATGGATATTCAGAAAATGTGACTAGCCCATAGAGTTCAGAGTCACACTTTGAAAATCCCAAAATGTAAACAAGAGAAAACAGTATTGAAAGAGTTTATTTCCATTTTCAACACCTTTTTTACATAAAACAAAATAATCAATTTACTTTCCTTTATATATGATCAATTAAATATATGCTGTCAAAGCAAAAATATCAATAGAACAATTATAAATGTCCAACTTGCTCCATTCTGAGATTCTGAACATAGTGAATGGTTGAATCTGGCAAACTGTAAAGATTTTTTTTCCATTTTTGACATTTAATAACACAATACACAATATCAGGTTTACCATCATTTTTATATAATCAACTTACAACGTTGTTAAGATGCAGAAAATGTCAAAAGAACAACTTAACATATCTAATTAGTTCAAAAATGAGACTGTTAACACGCCTGAGAATTAAATTTGAGGAAAAAACACTTATATACAAAAAAATGCATAACTTCACCAAAACTTAACAAATCAAGCTTATTTTCAAAACTTAATCTGTATTTTAGTAACATTGATCACTTCTCTGAATTTAAAGACAATTTGCTCTATCAATTTTCCTTATAATGTGTAATAGGTGTTGCATATATGCTGAAAAAAGTGAAAAAAACAGCATAACTTCCCTAAAAATGGCCTGATCATGCTGACTTTCGAACTTGACCTGCGTATTATGAATATTCATCAATTCTGTAAGTTTCAAGCTGAAAGAAAAAATGGTTTTCCACTTATCATGTTATTGGTGTTGCATATATGCTGAAAAAAAAGAAAAAACAGCATAACTTCCCTAAAAATGGTCCGATCATGCTGACTTTCTAACTTGACCTGCGTATTATGAATATTCATCAATTCTGTAAGTTTCAAGCTGAAAGAAAAACGGTTTTCCACTTACCGTGTTATCGGTAAAAGTGTACGGCAGGTGACAACAGACACAGGTGATGGCTATATGTACAGACACATCTGTGTATATACATAAAAATATTCTCCTTTGATGCTATGAGAGTGAGACCTGAAAATGCTCTGCCTGTGAAAAAAGATGTAAAAATCTTGATTGCCATTTTGTAATTGCACTGTGCCTTTTTTCCAGAACTGAAATATTGACCTTGCTTTTCCAGGCACTGCCAAAGGTGGATATGAACCAGGATTTTGTGAGCAGTGTGAACTGGGATCATTCACACTAGTGGTGGGATCAGACAAATGTCGAAGATGTCCACAAGGAGAATATTGTCCTGTTAGTCATTATGTATTTCCTTTGTGTTGTGTTCTTGCATATTTTTTGGACAAAGGGTTTTCGGTCATAACAGTGAATGTGCACTTAATTGTTAATATATTTAACACATATTTATGAATATGCATTGTCATGTATCATAAAATCATTGCAAATAAGTTTTAATATTAATTTTAAAAATCTTCCTCCCAAGAAAAGTTTGCTTGACTAAAATTAAATTATAAAGATAGTCTTTTGATATAAACCCTTAATGAGAAAAAAGGCAAGAAGGTTTGTTCATATACAAGACAGAATCTTTATTGCATACAGTTATAAAATCTAAAACGTAGTTTACTAATTTTTTTCTTACATGATGTATGTGACTGGTGTTCATCCGTTCATATTATTGAGGGCTTAGTAATGTCATATCCAAGAGTAAAATAATCTTATCAAAGTGGATTGTTAACCTATGATCTTGTTGCACAAACTTATTTTCATTTCAGTGTCCAACCTGCCCTCCTCAAGTGTGCCCAAAAGATTATTATTGTCCATCTGGTTCCTTCAAACCATTAGCTTGCACGAATCCATTGTTTGTTGTTGCTGAAAACAAAGCAAGCTGTGTGGCTTCACAAGAGTTGTATGGCATTGGGGCTGGAGTCATTATAAGTAAGAAAATGACAGAATTTAATGTGAGCATGCTGGCATGCATTAAAGCACGCACGCAAAGAAAGTGATATATTTATGTACTTAGCATTATTAAAAACACACAGATCTATGCCAAACAAGTGCCTGTTAATCAAGGCCATTGATGCAGGACTACTAGCATTACAATCATGTAAATGCTAACATTGGTACTGTTGGATGATGTCCAAGTGATAAGTTCCTCATATTGAATGACATCATTTAGCTCTCATCTTGTCCACAACTCACACCTACACATACCATGCTGATCAGACACTTTCTGCTGCTCCATCCTTTACTGTCAAACATTATAACTCAAATAAGTCAATCCCCAATATGTCACAGTGATTCATGTTTTAGCACTCATGTTGACGACTTTTGATATGTACACCACATATCAAATATCATCAGCAGGAGTGCTTAGGCATGAAATTAAGTGATTGTAGCACAAAAATGGGTTGTGAAAACTAAAGGCAAATGGCTTTCTTACTTGAGCAAAAATGTTCATTAGCTTGATAGCCGGATCATAAATGAAAATTATCAAACACAAGCTAAAAAACCTTCATACCTTAAGCCTATGGCCAACCTGGATAAAGGCCTTCATAGGACTGATGTGAGTAGATGTTGACACTCACTGATCACTAGGTGGTATATTGGCCAGGACCCACTTATAAATGTCAAGTAGATCAGCCCCCCTCCCTTTTCATGTATGCAAATTATATATATATATTATACTGTTCATTGATATTTATTAAAGGTACAGCCATCATGTGTGTCTGCTTAAGCTGTTCTGGAAGCTGTGTACTGTTTTGTTGTGGAAGTAGTAATAATAGTTTTGTTCACTAAAGTCACTTAAAACTTTCTGAACACACCCCTATCAGATTATTATTCTAAAAATTATGCAAATTTATGTTAATAATTTTTTTACTGAAATTGGCCATGATAGCATATTTAGGTGTTAGTATGTAATAATGCTGTGTCTGGTAATATTTTTTGAATCCTAGCAGTAACTGTAGTAGATTGTCCATCAAAATGTGTGTGTTAAACTGTGGGGAAAAATAGGTATATTTTGTAATCAGTATAAATGAAGTTATTTTCATATTTGTGGAATATATTTACATGAATGGGTTCAGTTCTGAATTATTTGTCAAGCTCTATATCATTGTTTTTCATTTTTGATAACGGTACAAGAAATGACGGCTGTGCAGGCATTTGATCTACAACATACATCAAAATAATGTCAAGGTCTTAAATGGTTTAAGTATCAAATCTTTTTTGTTTCAGTTGTTATAGTTGTGGTGGTATGTTTGAGCTACTATTTCTTCAGGAGAAGAGTACATGAAGGTTCATCAGAAGAAACCACACCCCTGACCAGAAATCAAAGAAAAGAACCAGTTTATGAAGGATTTTGAAAACAGACCATTGAATACTATTTAAGAACACTGCAAAGTCAGAGATTGGTCAATTTCCCTCTTCATTTGTCAGAGGGACAGTGATAAAAAAAGCACTTATGCAGTCTTAGGGGAAAAGGAAATGTGCAAAAAGTAATGAAAAGAGTAGGAAAACTGAAGCAATGTAAACGTGTCTAATAAGACTGAGTGCAGAAGAAGTTTGTTGGTCTTAAATTTTGTTTGCCATGAATTGATGTGGTTGTGATATTGTTATTTTGTTACAATTTAGTGACTTATTCCAAGGATTAAAATTATGTGGAATCTATGGTTATGTTTTTTGATTCACAAATTCTTTGATTAAGAATGTTAAACAAAAATAGTGTTTTGTATGTAGTTTTGTTAAAGGTGTTTTTTAGTTCCACTTGATTAAGAACTGATACGATGGCATGTCTTGCTTTTAATCCATTTGATATATTCAGTAATATTTCACCTGAATTGAGTCCGTTTTACTAAGTGGACTGACGGTTTTCAAGCTTGCATATACCCTTAATTGTTTGAGATAAGAACACAGACTACTGATAAACATTTTGCTAAGTGATGTTTGAGCATATTCATTACAAGTGCCAACATTGACCGACTCTGCCAACTTATGTAAGTTTGAGGGCAAAACGTAACGTCTTGAAACAGAAGTCATCAGATAAATTCAAGGCTTTATCAGGGCTCATATTAATGTAGTTTGAAGTAACTGAAAATATTTATTTTCTTATGTTTTTTATATAAATGAAATTATGATTGTGTTTGAGAACTTTTTTCATGGTTGTTATTTATAAGTTATTTTCGTGAGCTGGAGCATGTAACACATAAGTGTTTCATGGCCAAGCAGTAACTTCAGGTAAAAAGTAAAGAAGGACAATAAAATGATTTTTATTTGTGAACATTCTGTAACCATGTACTTAATATTTATAGAATGTGTGCTTCTTTTTGAGTGTGCCTCAAACATTCATCCAAAGTTTGAGTGTGCCTCAAACTTTGGATGAATGCCTGTGAAGCACAAGCATTGAGATAAAGGTAAAAACTGATAAAAAATATTAGGCAAATAAGTTACTGTCTTTTTCACTCATTCTCAACAATATATTGTTGAATACTAGACTTTAATAATAATAATAATAATAATAATAAAACACTTCTTCAAAACCGCGCTACACATGCGTCTCAGCGCTGTTTACATAAAAAATATAAACTCCACAGATAAATTAAAGCCAGTATAGACTAAAAACAAAATACTTAAAAATTTTAAAAACTAAAAAGATGCCATAAATTAAAGTATTCTTTAATAAAAAAGTTTTTAAATTCTTCTTAAAACAGTAATAGGAGTCATCCAGAGACACATTAGATCTTGTGATAAAATTAGACCATAAAATCGGTGCACAAATCTCGAAACTTCTGTGTCCATATGTCATAAGAGTCTTTTTAGTGTCTTTTCGCTTAAGTTGAAGTTGTCCACTAGATCGAAGTGATCTGATAGGAGTTTAAAGTTCTATGGTAGAGTTTAAGTAAAATGGACAGTTGNTGCACAGTGGGTATAATAATAATAATAATAATAATAATAATAATAATAATAATAAAACACTTCTTTAAAAACCGCGCTACACATGCGTCTCGGCGCTGTTTACATAAAAAATAAAAACTCCACAGATAAATTAAAGCCAGTATAGACTTAAACAGAATACTTAAAAATTTTAAAAACTAAAAAGATGCTATAAATTAAAGTATTCTTTAAATAAAAAAAGTCTTTGAATTCTTCTTAAACAGTAATATGAGTCCTTCAGAGACACATTAGATCTTGTGATAAAATTAGACCATAAAATCGGTGCACAAATCTCGAAACTTCTGTGTCCATATGTTTTAAGAGTCTTTTTGGTGTCTTTTCGCTTAAGTTGAAGTTGTCCACTAGATCGAAGTGATCTGATAGGAGTTAAAAGTTCTATGGTAGAGTTTAAGTAAAATGGACAGTCGCCCTTTAAAATCTTAAAAGTCAAAAGTAATATTATAAAACTATTCGTTGAGACACGGGTAGCCAGTGGAGGTTTCGCAGAATTGGTGTGATGTGGTCGGACTTCTGAGCTTTACAATGGAGACGAGCAGCAGAGTTCTGAATTGATTGTAGCTTTTCCATTTGATAGTTAGGTATTCCAAACAATAGGCTATTGCAATAATTCAGTCTAGAGGTTACAAATGCATGGATGAGTAATTCAGTTTGCTTGGTGTTAATAAGGTGAAAGATCTTGGATATCCGTTGGAGACTAAAATATGCTGTTTTACATACTTTGTTAATGTGTGATGTCATTTCACATTTGTTATTAAAAATAACACCCAAATTCCTTACTTCTGTTGTTGGTTTTATAAAAGAATCCCCAACTCTAATACTATCAAGTGCAGTATTGTCTTTGGAAAACTTAGAGTTGAAATGGACTAATTCAGTTTTTTCATCATTAAAAACTAAGTAGTTGGACTTGAGCCAAGATCTAAGTTCATTCACACAAGCCTCAATAGTTGCTTTTTCATCACAAGGATTTTCACATATAACATATATCTGGGAATCATCTGCATACAACATCAAATTGAAACCAAACTGAGCAACTATATCCTCAATTGGTGAGGTGTAGAGTGTGAACAGTATAGGACCAAGCACGGAGCCTTGTGGCACACCATAAAGTAATTTGCTTAATTTTGAAATAGAAGAGCCTATGCGTACATGTTGCTCGCGTCCAGTTAGATAAGACCGAAAACCAGGAGAGAACTGTCACAGTTATCCCAAAACGATGTGCAAGTCGTTGGAGCAATAACTGATGGTAAATGTAAGATGCCAGAGGCGCAGTCACGCTTGTACACGGTTCACACAACGAACTTACTAAAAAGCCATTAGAGACAAAAATAAAAATATCTGAAAGTGAACAAACATTCAAATATAGTAATCTCTTCAATGCATCTGCAGATGGCGTCGGGCTACGGGATGCATTAAGGATCATTTCACCAGCGGCGTATTACCATGTTTTCTTTTTGCAGTCTTACAAGACGATTTGAATGGTTATTTTTACATATCTCTAAATAAAAAAGTCATCAATCAACATGGTGTCTTTGTGTTGCAAATGTAAAAGACAAGTGTGACAATGGAATGCAAATAGTTACATTAAAAAAATCCCAATCTGATTTACACATATTGAAACATACTGAGCGTATTTCCCGTTGATTGATCATCTCTATATGTTCTTAGCATGGCAGGACAATTGTACAATATCATTAGACGTCAAGTCAAAGATATACAAGATTGTACGTGGGGACTTGTGTTCTAACGACAATTAATGTTCAACATTCGTTTGACATAAATCAAAAATCTCAATAACCGTTTTTCCTTTGAAGTCAATGGGGAAGACGGATTATACATTTAAAATGACTTTGGCATCAATAATAAATTAATAGATAGATAGATAGATAGACAGATAGATAGATAGATAGATAGATAGGTTTAGCGTTTGGAATGAATTTCAAAATTGAAGTTAACATTGCCAATATAACATGTAAAAAGACGAATCATCCCATATCTTTCAAGAACGACTGGTACTTGGCTCTCAGGTCTCGTCTGCTATACATGTCTTTAAAAGTTTTACTTTAATTATAATTTGAGCAATTACTGAATGTATCTGAAAAAGGCATATATATAAAGGAATGTGCAACCAGATTTTGTCTTAAATAATTCTTTATTTTTATTTCATTGCTATATTTATATTTCCTTCTCCTCGATGTGACATTATATATACATGTTTTTAACGATAATTTTCTACAATGTTCCATTCGTGATGTCTGAACACTATGTGATTCATGTTCACCAAGTTCAATCATTCTGGACCAATAGTTCGAAGTTTGAGGTTTAGTCATTTCAACATTTTCCGACAAGCACAATATGTCGTTCACTCAGTCCTATGTCATACACTATGTCATACACTATGTCATACACTCATGTCCTCAGAACATTTCATATCACAGAAGAAAAATTGAAGTGAAGCGATACAACCTTAACTCAGATGAATTCAATCAATTAAAGTAAATACGACGGGGAAGGGAATGTGGAATAACGAAGGGAAAAAGTATGTATATTATTAAGGCCCCGTTCTATACATGTCGTCACCGTTTCCTGCATCCCGCCAGAGCACGCACCCTGCGGACGAATCTCTTGCAGTCGTACTTAAATTTCGAGTGAATAAAAGTATAAAGTATTGGGTTCACCGCATTGTTGATATAAAACAGGTGGTTGAGTAAACGGTCTATCATCCGCTGCCACCAGTCCTCTAACAAGAAGTCTTCTTTGATCACACGTGCGAATCTTAAAAACCAAAATGGCAGCCAAGACACGATGAAAACGAGGGCGATGATGAACAGAAGCTTCGTGCCCCTTGGCCCAAGAGATTTGTTGGTAGTTTTGTTGATCTTGAGGATTTTTGTTGTGGAGTTTGTTCTGTTTAGGGACGCTCTATGCTCACTGCAGGGACTTTTCAACCCGTTCTGTGCGTCATCTAAGGGGCACGGCTGTAGAAAAGTGAAGTCAGGGTCGGTTTTTATACTTTCTCTTCTCTTGATTTTGTCTCTGTCAACAATACAGCAGCCACGGCTCGAAGTAATTGAAGCACAGGTTTGTTCTCTTCTGAGGTTATTTATACTACCATTCACAAGCACAGAATCAGAGTTTCTTTTCTTTATGGTGCTCTCAATACTAACGTCGCCGTCATGGGCATTGTGAGGACATTCTTCAATGAACACTTGGTCGTTTAAAACCCCGGCCATTTCCTTTGGAAACAGAGCCTTATATTCATTACTTTGTCTCATATTTCTGTAAGACTGATCGCTCTCGTTTTCTTGCGAGATCTCGTGGTATTGTTCATCCACAAAGTCACGTGTGTCACCTTGAAGGGTAAAATTCACGTCCGCGTTTGTTTCATACTTAAAATCTCCGTAACAAACGTGTTCAGGTTTATCGTTGCTATCCAAAATCTGGGGAACGGATGTTCTAGAATTATGACAAAGTCGTTTTAGGGCACCATTTATACGACCCGGCACAAAACGATTTTCGTCAGCCATTTCCGTGGCGCTTCCTTTGTCATTTGGACTCGGCTTTTCTGAACCTTTATCTGGCACATTCATCGTGTGCGTGCGAGTCCCGAACTGTATCTCTTGTGTTTCGGAAATTGGGTTCTTTATGAGTTTGTTCTTTGAAACATTATCTGAACTTTCTATGGAACATGTATCGTCCTCTACTTTGTTAGAGTGGAGTCTTTTATCCCTTCCGCTTACCAGCCTCCTTTTAGACATGGAGGGAAAACGAAAGAAAGTGAACGAAGCTCTGCCTCTAACAACCTGTGTATTATAGCCATTCGAGTCTGCAGTTACCTCGATTTGTTTTGGATTGTTTTCGCACGTGATAGTTTTCCCATCGGAGGTGTCGTAACCTGCAGGGGTCGGGCGCGTGTTCTCCAATTCCTGTGATGAGGGGAGAGGGGGAGTAACAGTGCCGTTAGACATCAACGCAGCGTGGCGCTTAACTTGGGGTTTGAAGTTGGAGGAAGTTGAGTTAAGCTTCCACGATGTTCTCTTAAGATTGATAAACGGAGAGTCGACGTCAGCGCTGCTGTAACTGCTGGACGACTGATGCTTGCGTCGCACGGTCACGCGCTGAAGATCCTCTACTGATCGCACGCTGCTCTTCTGTAACTTTTCATGTCGGCGCAGAAACATTCCAATTTTGGTGTATATCACGCAGGCAAGACCAAAGCACGCCACAAACACGGTGGTCTCCAGGGAGTTATAAATGGTGGTAGAGATGTCATTGTGATATCGGTCACTAAAGTCACACATGTACGCCTCTACCTGGACGTGGCCAAAATGACC